GCCCAGGACCAGTTAGATTTACAGCTGAATTCCACCAGAGGTACAAAGAGAAGCTGGTATCATTTCTTCTGATGCTATTCCAAATAACTGAAAAGGAGAGACTCCTCTCTAGCTTATTTGATGAGGCCAGTGTCAACCTGATACCAAAACCTGGCAGAGATACAACAGCAACAAAAAAAGAAAACTTCAGGCCAGTATCCCTGGTGGATACTGATACAAAAATCCTCAGTAAAATACTGGAAAACCTAATCCAGCAGCACATCCAAAAGTTTATTTATCACAATCAAGTTGGCTTCATCCCCGAGATGCCAGGCTGTTTCAACATATGCAAATCAATAAACATAATTCATTATAAACAGAATAAAGACAAAAACCACATGATTATCTCAATACACACAGAAAAGACCTTCAGTAAAATTCAACATCCTTTCATGTTAAAAACTCTCAATAGGCCGGGCGCGGTGGCTCAAGCCTGTAATCCCAGCACTTTGGGAGGCCGAGGCGGGTGGATCACAAGGTCAAGAGATCGAGACCATCCTGGTCAACATGGTGAAACCCCGTCTCTACTAAAAATACAAAAAATTAGCTGGGCATGGTGGTGCGTGCCTGTAATCCCAGCTACTCAGGAGGCTGAGGCAGGAGAATTGCCTGAACCCAGGAGGCTGAGGTTGCGGTGAGCCGAGATCGCGCCATTGCACTCCAGCCTGGGTAACAAGAGTGAAACTCCGTCTCAAAAAAATAAAAAAAAATAAAAACTCTCAATAAACTAGGTATTGAAGGAACATCCCTCAAAATAATAAGTTATTTATGACAAACCCACAGACAATATCATATTGAATGGGCAAAAGCCAGAAGCATTGCCCTTAAAAACCCACACAAAACAACAATGCCCACTCTTACCACTCCTATTCAACTGGCATTGGAATTTCTGGCCAGGGCAATCAGGCAAGAAAAAGAAATAAAGTGTACTCAAATAGGAAGAGAGGAAGTCAATTCTCTTTTTTTTTTTTTCTGCAAATGACATAATCCTAGATCCTAGATAATTCCATTGTCTCAGCCGAAAAGCTTCTTAAGCTCATAACTGACTTCAGCATCTCAAGATGCAAAATTAATGTGCATAAATCACAAGCATTCCTATACACCAACAACAAGCAGATAGCCAAATCATGAAAGAACTCCCATTCACAATTGCTGCAAAGAGAATAAATACCTAGGAATACAGCTAACAAGGGAAGGGAAGAACGTCTTCAAGAAGAATTACAAACCACTGCTCAAGGAAATCAGAGAGGACACAAACAAATGGACAAACATCCCATGCTCATGAATAGAAAAAATCAATATCATGAAAATGGTCATACTGCCCAAAGTAACTTGTAGATCCAATGCTATTCCTACAAAATTAACATTGACATTCTTCACAGAATTAGACAAAACTATCTAAAACTTCACATGGAACCACAAAAGAGCCCATATAGCCAAAACAATCATCCTAAGCAAGAAGAACAAACCTGGAGACATCATGCTACCTGACTGACTTTAAACTATACTACAAGTCTGCAGTAACCAAAACAGCATGGTACTGGTAAAAAAAACAGACCAATGAAGCAGAAAACAGAACTCAAAACACATCTACAATCATCTGATCTTAAAAAACGTGATAAAAACAAGCAATGCGGAAAGGATTCCCTATTTAATAAATGGTGCTGGGAGAACTGGCTAGCCATATGTATGAAGTTGAAACTGGATCCCATTTTTTACACCTTATACAAAAATTAACTCAATATGGATTAAAGGCTTAAATATAAAACCCAAAACTATGAAAGCCCTAGAAGAAACTTTAGGCAAGACCATTCAAGGAATAAACATGGGCAAAGATTTTGTGACAAAAACATCAAAAGCAATTGCTACAAAAGCAAATACTGACACATGATATCTAATTAAACTAAAGAGCTTCTGCACAGCAAAATAAACTACCATCAAAGTGAGCAGACAACCCACGGAATGTGAGAAAAATTTTGCAACCTATCCATCTTACAAAGTTCTTATATCCACAGTCTACAGGGAACTTAAACAAATTTGCAAGAAAAAGAAAACACAAAAAATCTAATTAAAAAGTTTGCAAAAGACATAAACAGACATTTCTCAAAAGAAGACATTTATGTAGCAAACAAACATATGAAACAAGCTTAACATCACTGATCATTAGAGAAATGCAAATCAAAATCACAATGAGATACCATCTTATGCCAGTTAGTATGGCAATTACTAAAAAAGTCAAGAAACAATAGATGCTGGGGAGGCTTCAGAGAAAAAGAAACACTTTTACACTGTTGGTGGGAATGTAAATTAGTTCAACCATTGTAGAAGACAGTGTGGCGATTCCTCACAGACCTAGAACCAGAAAGACTATTTGACTCAACAATTCCATTACTGAGTGTATTAGCTCATTTTCACACTGCTGATAAAGACACACCTGAGACTGGGAAGAAAAAGAGGTTTAATTGGGCTTACAGTTCCACATGGCTGGGGAGACCTCAGAATCATGGCAGGAGGTGAAAGGGACTTCTTACATGGCTGTGGCAAGAGAAAATGAGGAAGAAGCAAAAACAGAAACCCCAGTACACCCATCAGATCTTGTGAGGCTTATTCTCTATTATGAGAAGAGCATGGGAAAGACCAGACCCCTACAATTTCCTCCTCCCAGGTCCCTCGCACAACATGTGGGAATTCTGGGAGACACAATTCAAGCTGAGATTTGGGTGGGGACACAGCCAAACCATATTATTGGTTATAGATCCAAAGAAATATAAATCATTCTATTATAAAGATACATGCCTGTGTATGTTTATTGAAGCACTACTCACAATAGCAAAGGCATGTAATCAACCCAAATGTCCATCAATGATAGACTGGATAAAGAAAATATGGTCCATATACACCATGGAATACCATGCAGCCATAAAAAGGAATGATGAGATCACATCCTCTGCAGGGACATGGATAGAGCTAGAAGCCATTATCCAGGGCAAAATAATGCAGGAACAGAAAACCAAATACTACATGTTCTGACTCATAAGTGGGAGCTGAACAATGAGAACACATCGACACAGAGAGGGGAGCATCACACCCTGGGGCCTGTGTGGGGCAGGGAGAGCATCAGAATAAATAGCTCATCCAGCCTGGGCTTAAGACCTAGGTGATGGGTTGATAGGTGCAGCAAACCACCATGGCCCACGTTTACCTAGGTAACAAACCTGCATGTCCTGCACATGTACTCCAGAACATAAAAAAAAAATAAAATAAAAATAAAGAAACAAATCAATTCAGAAATGTGATTTTTTTTAGATTCCTCATGTAAGAAAGATCATGCATTACTTGTCTTTCCATGTCTAGCTTATTTCACTTAGCATAATGTCCTCTAAGTTCATGCATGTTGTCACAAATGACAGTGTGAAAGAGAAACAGAATCTCGGGACCCCGAACTCACTATGCCAAAGGGAAAGTTAATCTTGGGGACTGAGGCACCAATACTGTCTTCCTTCTGTTCCCAAACAGATAACGGTAATTTCACAGCCCTGTGTCATAACCTCGTTTCCTCTACTCCTTCCCTCTTTTCACGTTTACTTAATTTTATGTAAAATGTAGATTTACTGAGCACAAGACAATTTATAATCAACTTTTTCCTCTATTCTCCTTTCACGGGTGAAGTATAGATTTGCTAAGGCTAATCAAAGACTCAAGAATATAACCATTTGTGCCATTGCCTACACTTCCTTCTTTTCTTCTCCTTCCCCTCCTGCTTGCTCTTTCCCCTTTTAATACTGAAGTTCTCAAAACCCTCTATGGCAAAAGCCTGGATCACAGATGCTCCTGTGATTTCTGTTTTTCCCAGGTGTCTTCCTCAACCTTGGCAAAATAAACCTTTAATTGATTGAGACTTAGTCACTTTTTGGCTTAAAGGAGGATTTCTTTGTTTTTAAAGCCGGAATAGGATTTAATTGTGTATACATACCTCATTTTCTTTATTCATCTTCTGAATGACACACGTTGATTCTATTGCGGATAATGCTGCAAGGAACATAGGAGTATAGCTATATATTCAACATACTGATTTTAAATTCTTTGTCTGCATCCTGCAAATGGGATTACTACACCATATGATAGTTGTATTTTTAACTTTTTGAGGAACTTCATACTGTTTTCCATAATGGTTGTACTAATTTGCCCTCCCATCAACAGTGTACAAATGTTTCCTTTTGTCTGCATTGTTGTTAACACTTTTTATCTTTTGTCTTTTTGGTAATAGCCATTCTGACAGATGTGAGGTGATATGTCACTGTGGTTTAAATTGAATATCTTAAATTGAATATCTATTTGAAGATTAAAAGTACTCTCCCAAAAATATTACTGCTAATGTTGCTGTTTTGCATGAACCGTGACCTTGAGTTGAGTTCTTGGACACATGAGTTCTTCATTATGAGGATATGGGTTTAAGTACTCAAGAACTATATATTTATATTTTATATGGCTGAATATTAGGGCCTGTCTTTACTGGTAAGAACTTACAGAAGAAGGAGACATTATAAAGATCTCACAAAGAGATATATAAGATTTTTGTGGGGAATGAAGGAACATGGTGACTGCTAATTAGAGGCTGGGGGAAGAGCTGTCTCTGGAAATATCCCAGGCATCACTATGGAACCAGAATTAGAGGCAAACAGAGGTGTGTTGGAAAGAGTGACATGTGTAGGTTAGCTCTGGGTGGTTTAATCACCAGTCGTCTAACTGAGGCGATGTGTGGATGAGGAGATTGACAGGAAGAAGGAACCTGCAGAGACAGAGTAGGAAACAAAGCTTCATTGTACAGTATATGCACAGCAGGCAGCTTGGGATTTTGTCCCAGTCTTCTGTCTTCAAGGATTATTTTCATAATAATTATTTTCATCTTGTGCCAAGATCACCCACATTCCTCATTTTCCCTCAAATGTTCCAAATGCCTTGTATCACCTGATTTTCTATCTTCCTGCTAAAGCTTTCCCCATACTCTTACTCTTCACCCTCCAACATTCTCCAATTCTTACCTGACTTCCACCATGGAGTTTCCCCGTGGCCACCTGCTTGTAGGAGGCACTGTCTGAACACAGCCTCTGGATGCTGCTGATTTGGCTCTTTCTTTAGATTCTCTAGATTGAGATTTTAAAGAGATAACTTTTTGCCAAGAGAAAGGACCGAATTTATATGTGCCATGAAAGATTATTATATATAACTGGTTACCTAGAAGTTTATATAAGAGAAATAAGTAAGTAGCTTCAAAAAGATTTTGAAAAATTTAGGGATAATTGCTTGATAAATTTTAATTAAAGGAAAACAATATTCTGGGGACAGCATTTGTAGTTATATTACCATTGGCATTAAGGAGCCCACAGAACCTTTCAGAATATAAAGTGATTCTTGATTCCTGAAGTAAATGCAGGGCAGGGTCCTGGATGGTCCTTCTGGTGACAGGGTGGCTCCTATGTTCACATTCAATACCACTGACCAAGAACAGATTCCAAGAGATGCTGACCAGGGAAGATGATTTCTCCCTTGATTTTCACAAAGGAGTCCACGGCTTTTTCTTCCACCCTGAAGGAAGAGAGGATGTCCCCTGAAAAGAGTGTCCCTACTGTAACCCTGATACGGCCCCCCCACTAATGGCAGTGACTTTTTAGCTCATCTACCAACATGAGATATGCACAGCCTCACGGTAATTGCTCTGCCCGCACAAAGGCCAGGCAGGCGATTCAGGTGAGGCACATGGAATAAGGATGCTTAACCTAGTTTATTTCTTTTCTGGCCTTCTTCTGCCTGAATGCCCTGAATAAAGCAGCAGGGATAGGCCCAGGGCAGAAAACGATAGAGAAGGCTGGGTCAGGCAGACACAGCTGGCAGAAGCCCAAAGCAAAACCTTTCCGGTGAGGTTTTAGCCAATCAGAAAAAGGCTGTAAAGCAACACTTGTTGCTAGCTGAAAAGTCTGTGCGAAGAGGCCTGTGACACTGGGGAATCCCCAGGTCTGACGCAGCCTTTGCCTCAGAATAAACCCATGGGAAATTTTTTCCTTAGACAGGAAGGAGAGGATGGATTAGAGATCTCTATTCTGAGGGAGGACACTGGGGTGGGGGCTAAGGAAGGACATTGAGGGCATCTTCAGGTCTGTCTGCTTATTTTTCCTTGCCCCCACCTCCATTCCAGATGTGAACATGGTTCCTCCTTTATGCATGCATCACAGCAGTGGAGACTCTCCTTAGACTGAGGTTACTCTGATCCTGAGTACACCATACAGCACTGCTGCTGGACGCCCAGTGGCAACTTTCCCAGTCTCAGGTGCTCTAAACTATGCACTGAATAATACAGAATATTGGAGTGACTCAACGCTTTCCTGTGCCACTATTGCAAACCTCCTGCTGTTGCCTCTTCCCTTTCTTTTTACGTGGTAAACTTATATTCTGATTTTAGATTGTATTCTCTGCTTTAAAAGCAGAACCTGAAATTTGGGGAAGAGAAACAGAGAAAGGGAGAGAAGAAGAGAGGTGGAGATATTTATTGTCTTGGTTGGGGTCAGAAATAATGTTTGCCAGGCATTGTTCTAATTGCTTCATAACCATTAGTACTGCCCCTAGTCACTGGCAAGAGGAGCCTGATAAGTTATAAGTTGATTTATGAAAACACACTGATGTAGATATGTCCATGAGGAAGTGTTAAATAAAAAAATACAGAATTAAAAAACCCACATTGATACCTCTGCCATTTGATGTTTAGGGCTGGCACGGTACAATCTGTGACTCTAAACATTTTCTCCATCATTAATACTACTCAGGACCAGGAAATGTTTCTCCACAGCTTTTGCTCTCTCTCCTCAAAACTAAACATGACTGTGTCTTCTGAATACTCTAAAGGCTTGCATATTGTGTCTTTGCTGATATCAGATGCACTTATTTCATGGTTCAGGGAGGATTTAAACAGCTAAGAACTTAAAAAAGAAATGTCGACTTAATTAACTTTTCAAATACTTTCACTCGAAGAGCATAAATACAATATATTCTTGCCTGATGAAGAATCATTTAACAGCATGGGTGGTGTCAATTTTTTTTTTTTTTTGCTTTTTTTTTTTTTGTTCCACATATTAACCGGATAGTTACATGTAACAGTTGAGGAGACTTTTGTAATATTAAACAAGTCATATTAATCTTAAATTTATATGTGTGAAGATCTAGATGTAAAATGCATGAAACATGATCCACATTTTACAAAGAGAAGCCTGGGGCAAAAATAAATTCAGTAATTTGTTGACTCTCTTAAAGCACATTAGTGGTGGAACTGCAACTCACCACCATTACTTCCTTCTAAGAACTTTGCTTCTCTCACCAAAACTTAAGACTCCTCAGGGTGTCTGAGACAACAGCAGTAACAATTTCTATGACAGCAATTTTATCTCCCCTGAAATATGATTCCCACTTAATTTGCCCTATTAAAAATCCCAAGTATAAAAACAACCGGTTTTTAATCAATACTACAAAGACGTTTACTGTTGAATCGCATTTTTCTTTTGCTTCTTAAAATCCCTTAGGCATTCAATCTTCAGCTGTTCTATAATTGAGAAGGAATTTTCACCTCAAATGTTCATCCGGTGCAATTTGAAGAAATCACACAGTCTAGGCACTGGATTGAGGACCTTCACACAAAAATGTCTGCCCAGATACAGATGAGGTCCTTCAGCTCCAGTGCTGATTGGTTCCTTTTCAAGGGACCATCCAATCCTACCACGCACGGAAACATCCAGAGGTTTTTATTCCTTCTGGCAGGTACATCAGATCCACCAGTTCCGAGCTGTGTTGACTACCACTACTTTTCCCTTCATCTCAATTATGTCTTGGAAGAAGGCTTTGTGGATCCCCGGAGGACTTCGGGCAACGGCTGTGACCTTGATGCTGGCGATGCTGAGCACCCCAGTGGCTGAGGGCAGAGACTCTCCCCGTAAGTGCAGGGCAGCTGCTCTGGAGAGCCTCCACTCTGGGAACAGGCTCTCCTTGGGCTGGGATATAGGGGATGGTGACTTCTATGGTCTCGGACACAATCTTTTATCAACATTTCCTCTCTTTTGGGAAACAGAGCTATGTTGCATTACCATTTATCTTTTAGTGATGAGATGAGGACAATCCAATCCCCATCCTAGAGGCTTAACCCTGGGAAAGGAAAGAGGAGACAAAGTGTACATATACTACCAGTGATAGGACAAAGTGAGCATGGGTTATTTTTGAAGATATGAATTTCTCCAAAGACACAGCAGGATTTGTCATTTCAGCGTGCCCCGTGACTTTGTCTGGACTAAATATTATGAGATCCTGCGTTAGGAAATGTAAGGCAGCAATGGTGTCTGTAGTCTCAGTACTGGAAGAAAAGTAGTCTGTGTTCCTGAGTGGAGCGTTTGTGGAGGCGAAATCTTGGTACTGAGGGAAGCTGACTGGCTGACCACAGGCAGGGAGTCTTCAGGTTTCACTGATTTATGGCAAATGGTGACTTGAGTGGGATTCAGAGACCTGAGTTGATGGTGGACTGAATTGAGTAGAAAAGAGGATGTAAAGAAGGGAAGTACCGAATAATGTGAAACCACTCATTTCAGACACAGGACAATACTTTATATAAATTC